GTTTGCAAACGAATCACCAGGAATGTGTTGTTCAAATAGTAAAATAGTTTTGCCATCGTTAATTGAGGCACCTGAACCACTACTTAGTTACCTTTCTGGCACAACTACTATTTCAAACCACTTTTTGAAAAACATACGCAAGTACAAGTCTTGCTTTCAAATGACTTCATTTGGAGCAACGAAAATTATATCTGAAGGCGGTTACATGCCAACATTCAAAGTTCAAGGCCAAATATACCACAAAATCGGTTCATTGCTCGCAGTGCAACAACAAGATGCGAAATTTCTGCAAATTTATTTCACTGGAAATGATGCACTGGAAGTAGACAAGCGTTGCGTAATTAGTTCTGGGAACCGACGCGAGATCATTTCAAGCTTGCAGGCAATGTTCCATGAACAAAACAGTTTGATTCGCCATTTTAAAACAGCTCTGGATCAAATGCCATCAGGAGACTATAGTGTTGTTATTAGAGCAGACAAAGCTCCGGCTGGTGAACATGAAAGGCGCTTCAATGCTCCAGTAACAGGGGATGTTGAAATTGTAATAGTTGGCACCGAATTCGATCGACGTGACATCATTATCCACCGGCGAAATGCTAATGTGCAGAGAGTATCGGAAACACATCGATCGTATGATGCACTCCAATATCCAGTGCTGTTTCTCTATGGAGAGAAGGATATCATTTCAACATCAGGCAAGTCGACCCCAGTACAAGTGAAGTGACGACAAAGAAAGTGTCTTGCATGGATTATTATGCAAACCGCATTACGATTCGTGGAAATGAATCCAATCATATCTTAAAATGTCGTGAATTATTCCAACAGTTTATTGTGGACATGTACGCGAAAGTCGAAAGTGAACGTCTTCTTTTCATTCGCTTAAATCAAAAGAAGCTGCGCGTTGAAGAATACGTTCATTTACGTAATGCAGTTGCTAATGATGGAAACATTGCTGACATTGGACAAATGGTACTTTTACCTATAACATATACAGGAAGCCCGCGGCACATGCACGAATACGGGCAAGATGCTATGACGTACGTTCGAAAGTATGGACGACCAGACCTATTCATCCCCTTCACTTGCAATCCATCGTGGAGTGAAATAACCGAATTGCTTTTTGCAGGCCAGAGCTCATCGCACAGACATGATCTTCTCGCTCGAATATTCAAGCAAAAGCTAATAAGTGTTATGAATGTCATCACGAAGAATTTTGTTTTTGGAGAAACCAGATGCTGTATGTACTCAATTGAATGGCAAAAGAGAGGCTTACCACACGCTCACATTTTGATTTGGTTGAAGCAAAAAATTATACCTACACAAATTGATAGCGTTATATCAGCCGAGCTTCCAAATCAAGCCGAGGATCCATTCCTTTTGAAATAATCAAGAAAAATATGATTCATGGGCCATGCGGTACTTTTAATCCTAATTCACCATGTATGCAAAACGGCAAATGCACAAAGCGATATCCACGTGAGTTGATTACTGAAACTCAAACTGGGGTTGATGGATATCCTCTGTATAGGCGAAGAAATCCCACTAATGGTGGATACACAACTACTATTAAGATGCGAAGTGTAGATATCGACATAGACAATAGATGGATCGTGCCATACTCGCCACTACTTTCAAAAATGTTTAATGCTCACATCAATGTTGAGTATTGTAATTCGATAAAGTCCATAAAATATATTTGTAAATATGTTAACAAGGGCAGTGACATGGCAGTATTCGGATTAGCAAATTGAGGTGATGAGATCACGCAATATCAAACAGGGCGCTACATCAGCAGTAACGAAGCAGTATGGCGGATATTTGCATGCAATATTCACGAACGATATCCAACGGTTCAACATCTCGCTGTTCATTTGGAAAATGGTCATCGGGTTTACTTCACCGAAGAAAATGCGCAAAATAGAGCAGAGCAACCACAAAACACAACACTGACTGCTTTTTTCGAATTGTGTACATCCCAAAATTTTGCTAAAACGTTGCTGTATCAAGATGTGCCCAAATATTATACTTGGAAGACATCGACAAAAAAGTTCAACAGAAGAAAAAGAGGTGCAATTGTTCCAGAGCATCCTGGTATATATACGTCCGATGCATTGGGACGTGTGTATACTGTCCATCCAAATAACGCCGAGTGCTATTATTTGCGGTTGTTGCTGCATACAATCAAAGGGCCGACATCATTTCTTGCTTTGAAAATCATCGACGGAGTAGAATGCCAAGCGTACAGAGAAGCGTGCTTTAAACTGGGCTTATTTGAGAATGATCAGAATTGGAACACAACTCTGACCGAAGCATCACTCACGTGCCATCCAAAGCAAATACGAACTTTGTTTGCGATAATTTTAACAACATGCGCACCACCGAATCCTCGACAACTGTGGGAAATGCATCGTGAAAGCCTCAGTGAAGATATTCTAAGACAAGCACGTGCAAGCGATCCAAGTCAGGAATATTCGGATGACATTTTCAATGAAGCTTTAATATTAATGGAGGACTTATGCATGTCAATCAACAACAAAGCTCTTTGTCAACTCGGTATGCCAGCACCGACACGAGATAGAAATGCTGTACAAGATAGAGACTTGATGCGAGAACAGCAGTTTGATGCAAATCAGCTTGAGCGATTTGTGCAAACGCAAAAAGAGTTTTTAGTTGCTTATCAGAAAAAAAGCTTATGACAAAATCCAGGAGGTACCGGGAAAACTTTCCTCATCAATTTAATATTGGCGTCAGTTCGAATGCGAAATGGGATTGCAGTAGCAGTAGCATCATCGGGGATTGCATCAACACTACTTGATGGAGGACGTACAGCGCATTCAGCACTTAAGCTTCCATTGAATTTGCACCAGACCGAAACACCTACATGCAACATCAGCAAAAACTCTGGTATGGCCATAGTCCTTAAAACGTGCAAAATTATAATTTGGGACGAATGCACCATGGCACATAAGAAATCGCTCGAAGCACTTGACCGAACTCTGCGAGATTTTCGTGGAAAAGACCAACCGATGGGAGGCGCTCTTATACTTCTTGCAGGTGATTTTCGTCAAACATTACCCGTTATACCACGATCAACACCTGCAGACGAGCTGCATCGCATCTGTGGAACTATGTCGAAAAAATTACGCTCACAACAAATATGTGAGTGCGTTTGCTGCAAGATACGTCTGCCCAAATATTTTCAAAGCAACTTTTAGATATCGGAATCGGTAAAGTTCATATTGATCGCACAACAAATGAGATATCATTTCCGTCCAACTTTTGTCAAATGCAGCAGAGCATTCAAGACGTCATCGACAGAGTATTTCCGAACATAACGATCAACTACCGAAATCCGGAATGGCTCCGCGAACGTGCAATTTTAGCTCCGAAGAACGATGATGTTAGTAAATTAAACGATCAAATTCAATTCAAAATTCCAGGAGAAGCAGTCGAATATAAATCGATTGATACAGTAATGGACAAAGATCAAGCTGTTAATTACCCAACTGAATTTCTTAATTCTTTGGAGCCACCTGGAATGCCTCCTCATTCGTTGGCGTTAAAAGTTGGATCACCAGTGATGCTTATTCGGAACTTGAACGCGCCGAAACTGTGCAACGGAACCAGAGTGATAATAAAAAATTAACACCGAATTTGATCGAGGCAACAATCATCAGCGGTAAATTCAAAGGCGAGGATGTGCTGATTCCACGTGTACCGATGATTTCCAACGATTTACCGTTCGAATTCAAGCGGCTTCAATTCCCTTTGCGTCTTGCCTTTGCTATAACTATAAATAAAGCACAAGGGCAATCATTAACTATTGCGGGTTTGGATTTGAAAAACTCGTGCTTTTCACATGGCCTGTCGCCATGGCACGTCGCCTGTTCACGAGTTGGGACACCACAAAATTTATATATTTACACTCCAAATGAAAAAACTAAAAATATTGTTTATCCCTTAGCATTAAGGTAAATAAAAAGGTATTCAATTTCAAATCTCTAAATACATGTGTTTTTCTTTGGCGTAGCAACGCGCGCCGGGTATTGCTAGTATCAATTTATAAAACATGTTTCACCATTTAAATTTTTCTTCTTCTTCTTTATTGGCGCTGTAACCGCCTAAGCTAGGGATGCACAGCAGGGGTGCACGCAGTCGACGTCGCGGGCAAACTGCGCGCACGCGAGCGTGCTGGGGGAGGTGAAGTGAGCTGTACGGAGATGGCATCGTATACATATTAACCACTACACACTTATTTTCAAGTAAAAATGCGTGTATGTATGTGTACTTTTGCGAAAACTGAGCCAGTGTGGCATCAGGCCACCAGAAAAAGCCAATTTTGCCAAAACAAAAGCGCCAAGTTTTTATTATCATTGTTAAGGGTTAAGCATTGCTGACCATTCAAAGGTTAATGGTGTCTGCGCGATCGACTCTTTCCTCATTTATCTTCGCACCTCATTCGCCGCAGTCAACTCCAGCTAGCCTATTGTTTTGTTAAGTACATATATTGTACATCCACTTCTATATGTACATAAAGATCACATGCATAATTATGTAGGCATATGTATGTAGCCACATGTATAAATATATAAATGCATTTAGTTTGTCGCATTAGGTGAACCGATAACTGTAAGAAATTGTTGGTTGTAAATTAATAGAAGTACCAATTATGTACGTACAAAGCACTTAAGTATTTTAGTGCCTAACATTTCTTCTTATACATATGTACAGGAGTATGAATATAAATTCCGCAAGAAAATAAACTGTCTTACTTTGAAACTTTTTCTCGAAACCTAAAGTCATAGCGCGTAGTCGCATCGTTTTATTTTTGCATTAGTTGGCAAAAACGCTTGCCAGCTCAAAACATTTTGGTGACCCCGACGTGATATCGTCACGTATCAAATCGTCGCGTATGCACTAATTGGAATACTACTTCCATTTCGCAAATAAAACTTTATAAGTTCTCGGTTATCGGCACACCTAATCAACGGCAAATCAACATGCTTCCCGGAGCTGAAGGTGCTACTGGTGATGACGCAGTTAAGGTGATATCTCTTTATAAAAAGAGGACTCTATCATTAAAGAAGCAGGTAGATGACATTAACCAGCAGTTGTCTCCGGACTCTCTAAGAAGCTTGGATGAGGTGGACATTGCTATGTATTTGGAATTGGTTGAGCGCCTTCGCACGAGTTTTGACGAAGCTCAATCCTGCCTTGAAGCTGAGGATCATAGCGAATTGGCCAGTGAAGTCAGTTGGTCGTTCGCTAGGTTACACATGGAGGTTAAAGGCAAGCTCACACGTGAACTTAATCATCGCAGGGTCGACGTTGCGCACTCATCAACAGCTCGTCCATTCGTAATCGATGATGCATCTCCATCGTTTATTATTTCTCAACGCAACCGACTTCCTGAATTGCAAATTCCACACTTCAGCGGTGAATATACAGAGTGGCCAGACTTCATCGCAATGTTTAACTCGGTTATTAACAATTGCGCTGAGTTAAGCAAAATTGAAAAGTTTCAACATTTGCGGGCAAATTTGAGAGGCGCTGCCTTGGATACAGTTCGTTCCTTGGAGCCAAGTGATACCAACTACGACGAGGCATTGGACCTCTTGAAGAAACGGTTTGGCAACCGGCTACTCAACTTTCAAGCGCATATAAAAGAAATTTTCGCACTCAAAAAGGTGGAGAGCGGCTGCGCTTCTGGTCTGCGCTCGTTCAGCGACAAGCTAAACGCACATCTGCGCTCTTTATAAACGATGGCAACGGGGGAGCAGATTGCTGATGGATTTCTCATATACCTGATCTCTCAAAAGCTCGATACAAAATCGCAAATCAAATGGGAAGAAGATCTGCCAATAAATTCGCTTCCAACTTGGACATCTATGGCAACGTTCCTGGAGAAGAGGTGTCGCATGCTAGAAAATGTGGAGGCCACAGTACCAGCAGCAAGCAGCACTTCCGTGGCAGGCAAACGTTCACCTCACGGTAACAGCAGTTCTCGAAAGGCACTTGTAACATCTTCAAGCTTATGTTCGTTTTGTGGTTCCACTAGTCACTGGATTTATGGTTGTTCTCAATTTGGAGACTTATCACCCGCTTCGCGTTATAAGGAAGCCAAGCGCCTACAGTTGTGTCTCAACTGTCTTCGCCAGGGCCACACATTAAACAAATGCAAATCAGGACATTGTCGGCAATGCACATCAAAACATCATTCATTGCTACACATGCATAAAGGTGAGCAACCTACATCGCTTCGTTCGGCCGACAACACAGGCGCTGGAACGGCACCAACGTCTTCGATGAGAGTGCAGCAAGTAGCCACAGCTGCATCCTCAGAAAACTTCGTCTTGCTGGCAACAGCAATTATACATATCAAAAATCGTACAGGGTGTTACGTTCCCTGTCGCGCACTGCTCGACTCCGCCTCTCAGGTAAACTTTGTTACATGGCGCCTGGTAAATCAATTAAAATTAGAAACGAAAAAGATAAGCACTTCCATATCTGGTATTGGTGCATCCAATTTCGTCGCTGACAGGGCAGTTGACATTTTCGCAAGGGCACGTAGTGATGACTACACTTTCCCCTTTGAAGCTATCGTTGCCAACACCATCACCGATCACCAGCCGAACTTCGACCTAAACATCGATTCGTGGAACATTCCGCCGAATGCCAAACTCGCAGATCCGCTATTCTATAAATCGCAACGAGTTGATGTCTTGCTGGGAGCATCAATATTCTTCGAGTTAATGTGCGTTGGCCAAATTAAGTTAGCCAAGAACCTTCCAATCTTACAGAAGACCAGATTAGGATGGGTCGCTTCTGGTGGAGGACTACATTTCCACAAATCATCGGCTTTAGTTGCAGTTCGTTTTCATGCAGAAGAAAAGGAAGCTAGTCTCGATGACCTTGTCAAGCAATTCTGGGAAGTCGAGAGCTGCTCAGTTCTGCCCACTCAATCGCAGGAAGAAATTAATTGTGAACTTCACTTTCAACAAAATTATATTCGGCTTGTTTCTGGTGAGTATGCTGTACGACTACCGTTAAATCAAAACGCTACTAATCTTGGCGATTCATATACACAAGCCAAGCAACGGTTTTTAAGTTTAGAAAGAAAGCTGCAGCAGAAGCCCGGCATTAAAGCTCAGTACTCATCATTCATGGATGAATATGCTGAGCTGAAACACATGTCACCTGTAAGGTTGGAACCACAAATTAAAAATTTCTTTTTGCCGCATCATTGCGTTCATAAGGCTGACAGCACAACAACGAAATTGCGAGTCGTGTTCGATGGCTCCGCAAAATCAGCCAGTGGATATTCGTTAAATGATATCCTCATGGTTGGTCCAACCATTCAGCCTAAACTCTTCAACACACTTTTGCGTTTTCGTATGTTCAAGGTAGCCTTAACGGGAGATGTCTGCAAGATGTACCGCTGCGTACGCATTTTGCATCCCGATAATTACTTGCAATGCATCCTATGGCGAGGCGACCCCAAAGCTGAATTAAAGGCATACACACTTGACACTGTTACGTATGGTACCAGGCCCGCCGCGTTTTTGGCAATTCGTGCTATGCATCAGCTGGCAACAGACGAAGAAGCAAACTTCCCACTTGGAGCACAGATCGTCCGCCGAGATTTTTACGTCGACGACCTCATCACTGGTGCAGACACCCTGGAACAAGTGATTGAAATTCGTCGCCAAACAACACAGCTACTTCGCAGGGGAAATTTCGTTCTTGTGGTGGTCAAACGTTTCTGCATCTCTCAATGGAGTTGCTGAATTTGACCGTGAGCCGCTGCTGCAGTTCCGCGATGGCACGCACATTACAAAGGCGCTTGGACTAGTATGGGACCCAAAATCAGATGACTTCATTTTTTCACTTGCACCTATAAGAAATCACAGACAGGTAACTAAACGCATCGCATTATCAACAATAGCCCGGTTTTACGACCCACTAGGACTCATAGCTCCAGTTCTAACTCAAGCAAAAATATTCATACAAAGCATGTGGAAAGAACGAGTTCACTGGGACGAAAGTTTGCCACAGCATTTGCACAAGAGTTGGACCGATTTCTGCGGTGAACTTGAATTAGTATCCAATTTTCATTTCCCTCGATATGTACTAATGCCAAACTCTCACTTAGAACTTCACGCATTCTGTGATGCTAGCCTAGCTGCGTACGGTGCATGTGTATATGTTCGAGCGCAATACATCGATGAAGTCAGAACCAGCCTATTATGTTCGAAGTCAAGAGTAGCGCCATTAAAGACTCTCACCATACCAAAGCTCGAGTTATGCGCAGCCTTGCTACTCGCTGAGTTATTGGACTCGGTCAGGCAGACACAAATATTTGATTGCAGCATACACTGTTGGTCGGACTCAAGCGTCGTGTTATCGTGGCTACGGGAGGAGTCTTCAAACTTCAATATCTTCGTTTCAAACAGGGACAGCCATATACAGACGCTAACTAAGGGAATGCTATGGCACCACATTCCAACTGCGCTCAACCCAGCTGACATCTTGTCACGGGGAGCATCCCCAAGTGAGCTTCTCAATTCCCAGCTTTGGATGCACGGTCCATCCTTCTTACTTGGAGATCAGAATGATTGGCCACCAGCACCCGATTTTCTCATCGACACGCCAGAACGGCGGCGCACTACTCTGGCCGCAACAATCCACCTTGAAGATATTTCACTTCGCTGCAAGTATCTAAACTCATTCAGCACCATGCAACGAGTTTTTGCATACGTTTCCAGGTTCATGGTAAGAAAAGATCCTACAACACCGAAGACGTATGGCGCACTTACACCTGAAGACATCAAACTTGGAACACATCTTTTATTACGCCTGATCCAGCAGATTCACTTCGCTCCCGAGTACAAAACTTTAAGGGCCAAAAGAAGAATTGAATCATCCAGCGCAGTATACTCACTCAATCCGTTTCTTGATGATTTCGGGCTTATAAGGGTTGGTGGTCGCCTTGAAAACTCAATGCTGGATTATGAAGCACGCCACCCAATAATTTTGCCAAAACGACACCCTATTACCATCGCAATCATTCAACATTTTCATCAAAAATTTATGCATGCTGGACCGCAAAGCTTAACAGCCTCAATTCGATTACAATTTTGGCCGATTGGTGGGCGAAAGACCGTAGCCGGTGTAATCAACAAATGCTTAAGGTGCTTTCGCCTGAAGCCAAAAGTTATGGAACACATTATGGGTGATTTGCCACAACACAGAGTGCAGCCATGCAGGCCATTCTTTATAACCGGCGTTGATTTTTGTGGTCCTTTTTACTATAAGTCCGAGGTACGCAACAAGGGTCCAGTCAAGTGCTATATTTGCATCTTTATTTGTTTTGCTACAAAGGCAACGCATTTCGAGTTGGCGTGTGATTTATCTACCGCTTCGTTTTTGGCGGCTCTCAAGCGATTTATTTCAACGCGTGGGAGACCAAAAACAATCTGGTCAGATAATGCTACAAATTTTGTTGGAGCGAGGAATGAATTGACAGAGTTAAAAAATCTTTTCTTGTCCACGTCCCATCTCCAAGCTGTTCAGGGGCACTGTCTGGACGATGGCATCGAATGGCGCTTTATCCCACCACGATCTCCCCACTTTGGCGGTCTGTGGGAAGCAGCGGTAAAGGCGGCTAAATTTCACTTCTATCGCGTTGTTGGTCTCTCCGTGCTTACATTCGAAGAGCGGCGTACTCTTGTATGCCAGGTATGTGCTATAATCAACTCTCGACCCCTTTATGCCATTTCAGAGAATCCTGATGACTTGGAGGTTTTAACGCCGGCTCACTTCTTGATCGGAGCGCCATTTAGCAGCTTTCCAGAGCCAAATGTTACAGATATTGAGACCAGTCGATTAGATCGTTGGCAGCGTTTGTCTCTCATGCAGCAGATGTTTTGGAAGAAATGGAGCACGAATTACCTAACTATACTACAAGAAAGAAACAAGTGGAAAGCAAAGGTCCCGAACATTCGAGAAGGAGCAATGGTTTTGTTAAAGGACGAGAACCTTCCACCATTAAAATGGCAACTTGGTCGTGTAGAAGAGGTTATTCTTGGCAGAGACAAGGTGGCCAGAGTGGCGCTTATCCGGACAGAAAATGGCGTAATACAACGAGCCGTTAATAAAATTGCACTTCTGCCTATGGAAAATGTTGAAGGCCAGAGTCCTTCAACGGGGGAGGATGTTAAGGGTTAAGCATTGCTGACCATTCAAAGGTTAATGGTGTCTG